TGGTTGGCCTTCTAGCTGTTTTAAGTGCTCTATAAATAAAATGGTATGGTATGGTATAAATAAACTGAATTGAAATTGAATTAAGAACCTGGTAATTGTGTTGTATCAATCCCTTCGTAACAGCCCAGTCCCTGTAGATACTGCGATGTGTTTAGGCAAGAGACTCATCTCAGGAGGTGAAGAGACCTATAAAGGACAAGTGTCCGCAATCAGTTATGCAACTAGTAGAGGAGCAGAACACTGAATAAAGGTCTCAGAAACAAACTGAGATGGAGAAATAGCTTTCAGTGGTTGTGGCATCACCCTTTTGAAGGGAGTGTATCCTTTACAGACATTTAGGTCTGCCGGCAACAAAAACATTTGGTATGTGGTTAGGTGTTCCTGTGTGAGGAGGGGAGGTTGGGTGCCTTCTTTAGATGGATAGGACTTGGCTTTAGCTGGGTGCAGTCTCCATCTTGCTCTCCAGATTCTGTTCCTGTGGGCTGCTCTGACCTGCATGTTGGTTGTTGTGGTGCCTCTAGAAAAGGGTGTTTGCAATGACTTGCTGTGGATAATTTGTAAACGATAACCTTAAACTTGGTGGGGTGGGTTGCTGTGGTGGATTCTGGATTATAAACTGCCTTTGATATTCTGTTCTGTTTTCAGGTTGGATCCTTCACCCCCTTGTATAAAGGAGTCTTAAGTGAGTTAATAAAAAGCAAATTTTCTTAACCTCTTGGTATATGTGTTGTGATTATTTGACAGTTCTGACTTTCTAGGCAAGTTCCTCTGCCTGTGTGACTCACAAATTTTTTACAATATCAAAGATATACTCAGTAAATATTGGGTAAGTATGTACCAGCTAAGTATCTGATATGTTTCAGGTAAATACCGGTAAGTATCCAGTAAGTCAAGTCAAGTCAGATTTATTTATAGAGCACATTTAAAACAGAAACTGTTACCAAAGTGCTTAACAAAAATATCACATCATCAAATAAAAAGTAGCAAGATATATTTACAGCACATGGAATAAAAATATAAAACCGAAAACCTAATTAGAAACAATGAAATACTAAATCAGATCACGTTGTGTCAAAAGTCAAGGAAATAATAACAAAAAGCATAAACTCAGTCAGAAACAATGAAATACTAAATCAGATCAGATGACCTTGTGTTAAGCATAAACAGAATCAGCATCAATGAAAAACTAGATCTAAATCCGATCACCCTGTGTTAAATGTCAATGAGTATAGATGTGTTTTTAGGAGAGATTTAAATAAGTGTGAGGTAACAAGTCAGTTAGGCCTTATCCTGGTGGGTACTGGGTATGTATCACGTGTGGAGCAGAGAGGTACTGGGTATGTATCACGTGTGGAGCAGAGAGGTACTGGGTATGTATCAAGCTGCATTATGTATTTATACCAACAGGTCTCTCCATCTCCTGTTTCTCCAGTAACCTTTCACAGAAGCATCAACATAAATGTTTATCAAGCAAATTAATGGAATATAACAGTTTGCATGTTTCCTCTTTTCTCAAGAGATGTGACTGTCTTCTGTTTATCAGTACAAACACTGCAGCTGATCTTTTCAGTTTTAGAGTCAGATTTATAGAGTCAACAGCCTGTCATGAAAGACAGGTGGTAATGCATTTTAATACTGCATGTTGGAGAGGAATGTGTCACCAATCCAAACAAGGCTATAATTGGGTATCTTCTTTTCTGTCTGCATCTTGATACTTTGGCAGTGGCTAGTAATTGGCTCCAATTTAACGTGATGTTTTCATTTCACTCATTTGTTAATGTAATTTATAGTTTTACAGAATTGTAATTTGTGTTCCTCATGTTACCGTTCCTGATTTTAACTACGTTATGCTTTTTACAGTAGATAATTGGGCTCCACTTTCTGCAGTCATCCTCACAGATGTTGAGTATACCAACACAAAACAATATCCAGAACTGGCATCATTACCAGTCAGCTCCCTTACAGTAAAATATTACCAGCAGCAAAGTGGAGCAAAGTATTTCAGAGCAGATACAATCTGCAGAATATCTTAGTATGTATTTGCCTGATTCAAGCAGTCATTCCCTGTTTCAGAGATCTAAAATCAACCCAATATAAATGCATGGTCTGATGTGCCATTGGGAATGCATCGTCTTTTCACCTGCCTCAGGTGTCGGTGAAAAGGGAGAAAACAAATTCTCACTCTTTTTTAAAACATTTCATTGCGTGTTGTCTGTGATTTAGTAACCATGGTGAGGCCTGCAAATTTAAGTCTGCAGCTACAGCTGAAATCTTCTTCCACTGGCAGTGGTGGTGAGTTACCTTGGCAGGATGGACAAAGAGACCGGGAGATCCAAGGAAACATCCACATAATGTCAAAACCTTTATTTCAAACAGTCCCACATACAGTGTCAGTTATTTCATGCAGCTCTGGGCTGCTTCTTCCAAACCAGGAAAGTATTTCAGTTTGATGGACATGCAGAGGTGGAATGATTAAGAGAAGTGCCCAGTGAAACACATCCATCAAGTATTATTGACTGCAAATTACAATTAGTGGGACCATTGTCCAGAACTGCTGTAAAAGGGGAACTGTGTTTTGCACATGAGCACAAATAACAGGCAGCTTAAATAGGTGTTAACCTGTTAGTTACATTAAGGTCTTTGAACAACTGCTGTTGGAAAAAAAAAGTGAATGTTTCTTGGATTTACAAGCTAATAACTAGTCAAAACAGGACAAAAGTTGATTGGTTCTGTCTTAAACAACAAACTCAAAATTTTAGTAGTAGTTTCTGCAAATTATATTTTAAAAATCCTTACACGACCATTAGTTTCACACTACATATTATAATTCTGGCAAAAATATTCTGGTACTCCCACTGAAGAGAAAGGACAAGTCAAGGTTCTTTATTGTTATTCGCACCATATGTGGTGCATGTGGTGGAACGAAATTGTGTACACAGGGTAACCAGTTACATCCAACAGAAGTATAAACTGTAAAGAAAAGCACTAGTAAGATCTAACATATGAACTAAGAAATACACTAAAGCTAAGAATATACTAAGCACTAGTAGTACAAAAACAATATGTCGAACAGCAGCACGAACATGAGTATGTGTGAGCAGATGAGTACGAATGAACAGAGCAGCATGAAATAAATCAGCAGCAGAAGATCAGCAGCATGGATAGTCAGCAGCACATATCAACAATCAAGTGGCATTATAGTGATTTTTTTTTTCACAGTTATGATCCTGATTAGGGATTTATGAGTCTAACAGCTTCAGGATGCACCAATTGCACAGCTAGCCACTGTTTTTGCTATTTGCTTATGTAATTTGCTGTTAGATTTTTAGAACATATCTATGTAATGCACAACTACAGAGGAGTAAAAGATTTAAACAGTGTTTTAAAGGTGTTTTGTTATATTTCTTTTAAATAAGAAACACCAGTCCTGTTCTGTCAAACTATTATATTATTTTCCTTTGAGTATTTAAGTTCAATAATGTGTGACAAACATTTACTCAAGTTTTTATTGTTTAAAATGTTCAACCTGACAGCTTATGGCAGTGTGAACCCTTCTAATGTGTATTTCTATCTCTGCAGCCACTTCTTTTTTCTCAAACGGAATGACAAGTTTTAGGTTCTAGGTTTTACTTTAGGCTCAACAAAGTGAATGTTTTGAAAAAGCTGTATGTATTTTTCTCTCCTGCTTGTTTGAGAGTTGTTGTTTGAGCAAGGTGTTGTAGAAATGTGGAGCCTGGCAGCTCTTTGCAGATACTCAAGCATGTGCTTTCAAGCTCAAGCCCATCAAAATGACCCCGTCAGGCTGCTATCACATGGGACTGGCTGCTGTAGTACAGAAGGATTCAAGCTTTTTCTAAAGCATTTCCACTGCCAAAGGTGTGTGCAATAGCAGTTTGTGTACCATTTTGCACAAATGCTAAAGCTGGAAAGGTGCAGGATGGGAAATTCTACATCCAATTTGGAGAACTAATTAGCCTATAGGGAAGAATGCTTTGGTGGATTTACATCCATAAAAGGGGAAAAAAGACAATCTTCTTTTCTCAAGTGCTTTGTTCAGTTTTAAATTCGTGTAATTATATTCACAGAGAAATGTGTTCAACTGGGACATATTGGACTTTGTCTTCTATGAACTATGAGGTAAACTGGGATTTTAGTTTATTTTAAAGATGTGTGTGTGTGGGGGTGGTGGGTGTGAGGCAATGCAGAAACTATGAGATTTTAAAGTATACTAAAAATGTGTTTTGGTAAAATGTTAAATGTACAATTTTCTCTCATCTATGTCTTACTGGATTAAACTTGTAGTTGGTTCACAGTCTGTGATAATTAACCGTCCCTTTGGCTCATGTGTGATAAATTGCATTAGAAGAGGGCCATTTGTTACAGCCTTATCTTTCTGGCTGATGTTAAAAAAGACTGAATTATTCATTATCATACAGTTCTGAGATAGAGTGGAAACCAAACAAAGATTATTGCTTCAGATATGCTATCTCACACAAGGGTATATTTGCATGTATCCACCCCAGGACACGTTTGATTCTTTGGTGTTTAATTACAACATTTAGAAGAGCCACAGAAGATATTCTGCTCAAAATGGTAATCAACTTTCCATCTCCTTTTTTTATTTTTACTAGTACTTTTTTAAAACTTTTACCATAGTGTTAATTCAAGCCAGGACTGTTAAAATGATGAGCTAAATAAAAAAATAATATATTCTAGCAGCAGCATTGTGGAACACAAACATGTGTTCTTTCAAAGTGAACTGCAAAATACAAAAGCTACTTTCAACATTCCTAAACTAAAAAATCCCCTGTCTTTGTCAATAATTTACTAACTTGTACTCCTAATTATTGTAAATATGTATTTTTGACCATGCAGTGTATGGTTTGTAAATGCTGTACTAAATTGCGATAAGTGGGTAAGTTCTGCCATCAAGTGGTTGGCTAGAAAAAGTACCAGCGGAACTAAAGTGTTTGTTCCTTCCTACCCGAGTTACAAAAAGCGTTGCACAGAGAAAACAGGTACCTAACCAACCGTATATTTCTGTTTAGTAAGTATACTTTCTTAACCTTACGAATTATAAAACACTCACTTGGGCCATAAAAAGGCTAAACAATTTGAGTAACTTCTGTTTACGACATTTAGGTGACAATTTGTACGCTTAGTTTTAGCTTGTGTTAGCTTTAGCTTAGCTAGCATTCGATGTAACATGAAGAGATTTAAGTCTTAAGGTGACATATAAAATACCCCGTAGGTAATACATAAACAAAACGTTTCAGAGGCAGGTCTTTTTTAAGTGGGAGGATAGTTGATTTGCGCCGTGAATTTAAAATAAAGCTCGACTCTATTTATCCTCAATTTATAACCACCTCATAATGATGCATACATATATAGACAGTTAAAAGTAATATAAGTTAGACCTATTTATTTGACTGGTCCTGTTTACGTTTTGCTTTTTTTTTTAATTGTCTTCGCACGATTGTTACAAATTTATACAACATATTAATATCTAAGTTGTAAAGTTTATTAATCACAGAGCTCCATTACAATTTATTTAGTCTGTTTATGAAAAATTACAGTCTAATTGTAATCTCGTGATTTTCTTGCTGATTCTGCTTCTCTTGTTCTGCTGTTTCCTGCCTTCTCATTCAGCCAATGGACTGACATCAGCCAGCAGACATGCTGAAAGATTTTCCCAGAGAAGCCCTGATGCGGCCTTTGTCCAGGAATGAAGTGCTTGGCTTGTTAATCAGGCTGACCATCTTTGGTGCAGCCACATACTACAGCATCAAATGGGTGGTAGAAGCAATGGACCCCACCTCTAAACAGAAGAGTCAAGCTAAGAAAAGGGTTAGTAGACCTCAAGTACATACGCATCTCATTGTTAAATTCCAAAAAGCAAGAGGCTGCTTTGCACATTATCAAGTTGATAATTGTATTGTACTATGACCATGTGTTACAACTTTTCAGGCAGAGCAGCTGATGAAGAGAATAGGTGTAGAGGGGGTCAAACTGACAGACTATGAGATGAACATCGCGTCTCACCTTGTTGATCCGCAGACTATAAAGGTAGTCAGTAATCCTGCATCAGTAAATGGGTGATTATTACATGTTGTGAAACTTCATCTGTTCTTTCTTGATGGCTTTTTCTTGATTTTTGTCTTTTTGCAGGTGTCCTGGAGAGATATTGCAGGTCTGGATGAGATCATCAGCGAGATTCAAGACACAGTTATACTACCCTTTCAGAAAAGACACCTTTTACCAGAATCTAAACTCTTCCAGCCTCCTAAAGGTACCCCATCAAAGCATGTAGCCCACCAAATATGATCAGCATTCTTGTAATTCTTGTGGGAGAAAGAATAAGGAGATTGTATAATATTTACACAAGAATAAAACAAGGTGAAAGACTTACAACCTTCCTTATCAGGGTTAAATATCTAACTGTAACTATTTGTTATGTAAATATAGAGCAGAGTAGTCCCTGTTCTTAAAGACTGAAGTCCTTTAACCTCATGATTTTTCTTTAGGATGTCTAACAGCTGTGCAATACACTTATGGCTTAGTGTTGAGTTTTGTCTTGATTGCAAAATTTTAGCTAAAAGTTTCTGTTAAACAATCCTTTCAGCCTACAATCATTCTCAAGAAGTTCATACTCTAATGAGCTCTCTGGAGCATTCACAGCTGAGACACATATTTTATAGTGATTTGGTTAGCTGTAGATTTGAAACAATAGTCAAATTTTGTTAAATGTGTAATATGGGATTTCTCAGATGTTTAAGATTGTTTAAGATTATTACAGAAAAACTGGCCCTCATAATACCCTTTATACAAATTTCCTGATGCATGCTCAATAATCCAGGTAGAAAAATCTAAAAAAGTTAAATCTGGTCCTTTGGACATTCAAAAAAACAAAACAATTGTAGAAACGTTTCGTCTTTCATCCGAAAGACTGAAGAAGTCTTTCGAATGAAAGACGAAACGTTTCTACAATTTTTTTTGTTTGTTTTTTTGAATGCCCAAAGGACCAGATTTAACTTTTTTTGATTTTAAACAAATTATTTTTTTCTCTTGGCATGGTACCAATGCATGATCTTGTGGTTGCTGCTCTATTGCTACATACTGATGAAGCTTCTCAGTCATCCAGGTCAAGATCAATGAAAACAAAGTTTCAAAACTTAACAGCTGCACTTTTGAAATGTTTTGCTTCCCAACCGGGCGGGTTTATCAATACAAAAATGTCCTGATTCCCAATCAGCTTCACTTCAATTCACACCTTCATGCAAGTGGCCAAAACATCTGTCTGTGAGCCAAAGAGCCTCCATTGTGAGGGCGAGTAGTTCTGATCCAATCTGCATGTGAATCAACACGACCAGGCCTCTCATGCACTTCTACAAAGCTCCAGACATTTTACAAGTGATGAAGTCTCCCAGATAGGAAGCAAAATGTCTCAACTTCAGAACAGAAGTTTTATTTTTTTCACATTTTTGGTGGGGGTGGCTCTGTTACTACACTTTTATGTGGTTTGCAGCTTTTTTAAGTCTTTTTTTTTCGTGCAGTTTTCTATTGCTGTGGGACTTGTAGCTCTTTTCACAACTGATTTCAAACTAGATTAATTGCATCATTTCTATTTCATTTCTATCCAAGCTGTTGCAAAAATAAATCTTAAAAAAAAAAACATTGACAAACATATTTTCTTTATGCTAAAAATCTGTTGATTTAAGAGTCAAATTAATAAATATTATCTTTTTCCCTGATTTATTCTGTTCAGAAAATGTCAGCAGCTTTTTACTTCTCATACGTCTCTTCAGTCAGGCGTGATAAACTAAACAAAAAAGCCCTCAATGATTCTCAAGTCCCTCCTCACCACTGTGAGACTTTATGGTTCTTTACTGCCACGTCTGACTCCTTTTTTAATAGTGACAGGAATCGTTTGAGGTGATTAACAAAGAAACCAGTAAACTTTAAGGTTTATGATTAACCGAAGTTTCTACGGTTCATTTCAGCTCATCTTTGAGCCTTTTTTGTTCTTGTTTTAAGCCCTGGAGTCCATTGTTCTTTCTTCTAGAACAAAGTACCATAAACCTCTGAGAAGATTTATCCACTTGACAGAGTGACAGCAGAGGATCAGATGAAAGCATACTTTACTGTCTGCAGAGAATTATTTACTGTTTTTCACACAACTTAGGTGTAAGCCTCAGGATGACTCAACCTATGAAATAGAGAGTTGCTTAGGGCAAACAGTTCAGTTCCTAGACTTAAGGTGTTTTTTATCAGATGGCTTTAAAAATGTATTGTGGGATTTCATCATTTAGTAAGATAGTTGCTTAGATTTTCTGATTTTTACTGTAAAACAAACACAAGGAACAGTCAGCATGAGCACAAAGGCAGTAAATAAGTTGAGCTAATTTGGAAAAAGAAACAGTTGATCGTAACTGCATCCTTCGTCTCTACAGGTGTGTTACTGTTTGGTCCTCCGGGATGCGGGAAGACTATGATTGCCAAGGCAACAGCTAAAGCCTCAGGATGCAAGTTTATCAACCTCCAGGCCTCTACGCTGACAGACATGTGGTATGGTGAATCCCAGAAACTGACTGCCGCAGTCTTCTCTTTAGCTGTCAAAATTCAGCCTTGTATCATCTTCATTGATGAGATCGGTGAGTTTTACAACGCAACACACGTAGATTTTAGGCAATTAAAATTAGATTTAGTATTATAAGTCATAAATAGTTATAAGGGAAATAAATCATATAGTTTATTTGGGGATTTAATTTATACAAATCTGGAGATTCACCTAAAGCAGCATCAAATCCAGATTACTGGTTTTCACTACAGAAGTATAAGGGAGGCTTTTAGCTACCTTGTTACAGACTGCTAACTCTTCTGTTTGCTCAGTTATTTCTATGTTGGACAAAACTTTTCAAAGTTGGATAAGGTGGGCACTGAGTTGCTTGTGTTTCTTATGTGTCAGAGTCATTTTTGAGAAATCGATCCAGTCTGGATCACGAGGCCACAGCCATGATGAAGGCCCAGTTCATGAGTCTGTGGGATGGCCTGGACACCTCTGCCACCACCCAGGTAACACACACAGCTTTTTATCAGGATTTGAAGTACCTACTACAATCAATCCATTTGTTCCTGAGCAAGTGGTGATTTGTAACATTGTAGGTGATGGTGATGGGAGCTACAAACAGGCCGCAGGACGTGGATCCAGCAATCCTGCGGAGGATGCCCGCTACGTTTTATGTTGGCCTGCCAGTAAGCTGTGTGCACACAATCAGCTAAATACAGCCTAATTCATTACAAATGTTACATCACATGTATAAATATATTAAAAAGAAGAAAAAAAAACATTGAATGAAAAGGGTGCAAAAAGAAGAAAAAAATTCTTATAATATCTGCCCCTTATTTAAATAAATATAAAATAACTACAAACAACAACAGGATTGAACAATCTCCAAAGTGGAAACAAAAACATCAGATATCCTTCACAAGACTTTCCTAACAATTTTAACTTAATCATCTTTTTAAACATATAAATTGCTTTAGTGATTTTTATATCAAGACAATCCCATAATCATATGACAACACAGCTCCTTCAGACTCGTTCTAAATGAAGGTTTTACAAACATTTCCATTCCCTTAAGGTTATAATGACTCTTTTTTTTAAATACATTTTAATTGAATATTTGGGGGTAATATTTTTATGAGCTTTATACATAACTTGTCAAATACTATATTCAACCAAATCATAAAATGTTAATAATTTGAACTGATAAAATAATATATTTGTTGGCTGACCATAGCACTTACTACAAATAATTCTTATAGCTCTTTTTTGTAAAATAAAAATAGCAATTGTAATTGTTTTACTTGCTTTTCCCCCAAACTTGAATACAATAGATTAAATATGGAACAAACATTACATAATACAATATATACAAAGCTTTGTTATTCAAAAACTCTTTTATTTTATACAGTAATGTGATTGATTTTGCTATTTTTATTCTTAAGTAATTTTCATGAGATTTCCATGTCGGCTTCTCATCAATAACACTTGTTTTGATTTGTGAAATAAAGCTCACTAAAAAGACTGTTCTAAAATGTTTTGGGCTTTTTAATGTTATTTAGGCAAAATCTGCAATTTGTTGTTACCTAATTTATATTTGTGTGTGTGTATATATATATATATATATATATATCATTCTTCTGTTGTAAAATAATCTGATCAATAAAACTAATGCTCGTGCTTGTGCTGCTGTCTTTGCAGAACTCGAGGCAAAGAGAAGACATCCTGAGGCTCATTCTAGCAGGAGAAAATGTAAGATGTGATGTTCTCACCCTTGTCAGCTGTGGACAACGCTACTCAATTTGCTGCTCTGTTGACTCGTTCTGTTGTGCATGTTTTCTTTGCTCAGTCAAAGAGAAATCACATCACTTATACTGGTGTTTTACTGATGACAACCAGCACCAACAGCTAGTGACGACAGTAACTGTACTGTATAATGGTTTGACACGGATGTCTGTTTTTCTTTCTTCACAGCTGAGTAATGCTATTAACCTGAAGGAGATTGCTGAGAGGACAGAAAGTTACTCCGGCAGTGACCTCCGAGAGCTTTGCCGCGACGCTGCCATGTACCGGGTCCGGGACTACGTCCGCAAGGAGCAGATGAGGCAGATTGTGCAACAGCTGCAGGGCTACCAGGAGGAGGAACGGTAAGACAAACACAGCTACAATAGTTTCACCAGCCTGCTGAGCATCAAACAATTACTGTTGTTTTGTTTGTTGATATTTACTTCACATTGATTGTTTTCAGGTATCTGCACCAATATTCACTCTTTGAACACCTGCACACGTCTTACACAAAATCCATCCAAACTATGTTTATGAAAACAGTTTAAAGCTAAATAAAAAGTGTTCAGTTATTTACAAATGTTTACACAAGTTAATTATTTTTATTAAGATTTGTTTTAGTAGGAGTAAAAGATGGGTACACATTAGAAATTTATTCCAGTAAAGCAAAAAAAAAAGACTTTTGTTTGGAGTGTAGACAAGATGAGCTGATGAGGCTTGTATTAAACAACTTGGTTGCATTTAAGATCCCAACTGTGTGGAAACACAAAGACAGTAAATACTGTGCCTAAATACTTTTCAGTGTTTTAACCTAAAGTATGCAAGTATGAAGTATTTCAACAGATGTGGTCTTTTCTTCTGGTTTAAGTCAGGGAGGCCAGTAGGGACTGCAACACAGAACTTAACCTAAAATGAAACCCTGAACAAATTTAGACATGAAAATACCAGACTGATCATTAATGAAGTGTTATATGTGTCCAGTGAAATATCAAGGATTTTTATTGTCATACCTGCTCACATTTTCATGTTTATGGTACAAAATTCAGACTCAGGTCCCAGATCAAGAAGCCTAACAATTATCTAGGGCTGGGTACCTTTCTACCGGTGTCGGTACCTTCACTTCGGTGTCGGTTCCTGGACGGTTCTTTTTTCGGTACCTATTTTGTAATTACTATTAATTCTAACAAGAATAAAATTACGTTACACATTACAGTACAAATTGTGAGTTTCATTTTTTAACTTTGGTATTTTTCTATTCCAAGCAGTTTTCTTACATAAAAACAAACAAATAATTTCCGGGTTAAAAGACCAGTTACAAACCAGTGACACGTCAGTGTCTAATGTTCACTGCTACACACTGAGGACCTTTTCACTTTTTCTTCAGAAACATCAACATGTCTGCTTTCTCTGGACACAAACAAGCTGCTCCTGGCTGATGGTGTCTCCAGCAGTAGAACATGTTCACTCTGAAGCTGTAGATGATGATTGTTGCACACACAGATACCTGGTTGTCAGTTTGATAGCACCGACATATTGTCCCTCACATTCCACCAGCAGGTCACTGGATTCACTGAGGTAGGGATGATGCAGACTTCTGCACCTCTGTGTCTCTGCCTGGATCTTCTCTGTGGTTCTCTGGGGTTTAGGGCTCTGATCATCTCCCTAATTGACATTAGAACAAAACATCAACAATAACATGGTTGTGTTATTATTACTCAAAAAAAACATTATCTAGGCTGAGAGATAAAAGCTCAACTGGTCAACAAAATCCTTTAAAGTTTAACTTACCTCCACTGTGCAGCTCCACTGTAGAAAAAGCAGCAAACTTTTAACAACAAAGTCTGACTGTCCTGTGGCCTCCACCTCACTTTTCTCTTGTCCTCCTCACATCAGGGTTAGAGGCTCCTGTGAGGAGAACATGAACAAACAGTGAACATTAATGAACTGTTTAAGCAGCTGACTGGATGGATGAGCAGTTTTACAAGCTAAGATTTATGTTACTGTCAATATTTAGTTAGCTTCTGAGTTTAGCTAGCTATGTAGATAAAATAAATTTACACACTAATATCTTAAAGTTAAGGCAGCACGGTGGTGCAACTGGTAGAGCTGCTGTCTCTCAGCGAGCAGGTCCCTGGTTCAAACCCCAGTCCGGGGGCCTTTCTGGGTGGAGTTTGCATGTTCTCTCCGTGCATGCGTGGGTTTTCTCCGGGTGCTCCGGTTTCCTCCCACAGACCAAAAACATGCATGTTAGACTGATTGGTAACTCTAAATTGTCCCTAGGTGTGAGAGTGAATGGTTGTTTGTCTCGTTTGTCTCTATGTGGCCCTGTAATGGACTTGCGACCCATCCAGGGTGTACCCCGCCCCTCGCACAGTGATTGCTGGACATGGGCACCGGCGACCCCCGTGACCCAAAAATGGAATAAGCAGGTAAAGATAATGGATGGATGGATCTTAAAGTTAGTGTTACATGGATCATAGTTTATTTCACCGCGATGTACGTGTTAAGCTGCAGTTATGCTAACAAACGTAAACTCACCAGCTGAAGCACACAGAGACGTCCTCGGAGTTCTTTGATGAAGAGTCCGGTCGTGGAGATAATAAAGCAGGACGTTCAGGCTCTCACAGGCTGACTTTAATGCTGAGAGGAGGAGGGGGAGAGAGGGGGAGGGGGGAGGCTAATGAACTCGTCTCTCCTCGCAGAAAAACACAGAGCAACTTTCTGCAGCGCGTGTTGTCGAAGCCGTTCGACAACACGCGCTGCACACGTGAAACTGTCTGTGGGCGTCACCAGCACCATAGACATAATTATACATAGATTAGGTACGGCAGCTCTATACAGCTCTGGGTGTAATCTGGGTGTAGTCTGTTTGTCATATGTCTGGTGTTTTACCAGCCTGCATGCTGAAACCACGTGACACTTTACAGCCAATACCGAAACTTGACACCGAAAGAAGAGTGACGTTTCAATACATACACCGACCGGTGCAGTTCGGTCGGTGCCATAAAAGAACCTCGGTTCGGTACTCAGCCCTACAATTATCAAATAAATAAATACAAAATAGTAATATATATAATAAATAAAGTAAAAAAAAAAAGTAAGATGAAACTGAAGTAAGTGCAGCAAAGTGCAATTATGGAATCGTGTTGGTGTTTTAAGGGTGCATTCACACTAGCCCTGTTTAGTCCGCTTTAATCAAACTAGCTCGTTTTCCTAGAAAGTCCGGTTCATTTGGGGAGGTGTAAACGCGCCATCGAACTCTGTCACGGAACAAAAAGGCGAACTCTGGCCCGGGCTAAAACCTAGGTCTCGGTCCGGTAGAAGCGAACTCCAGCGCGGTTCGAGTGCAGTGTGAATGTAAACGCACCAGCTCAAATGTCAACAAAATGTCATGAATATTGGTCCCCAACCGAACCGAGTCTACCGGACTATCAGGTGTGAAAACGACCTTAAACATGGGCATAATGGCTTCAATTAAATAACTTTTTTAAATTTAAACACATTAAAGCGGATAACTTAGCTAGAAATACACTAGAAACAATAATAAAGCAGCTAGTAGTATTTAAAATTAAAATCATATTATGTTGATCAATGGCAAGGATGTAACTATTTTGGTCAAACCTTGAAAATAACTTTTCTCTGCAATATTTCATATCTCATGCAGTATTGTAGGATATCATACTCAAAATGTGTGTTGTGAATAACTTTTATTACCACATCAAATTGTAGCATAATATCTGTCCAACTTACTGAGTTATAGTCATTTGTATGTTTTGCTGATGTTGGTTAGTCATGGCAGCCATCTTGAATCCCGTTCACTCCAAAAGTTAATCGGTTGTAGATGCCAAACCTGGGATTACTTTCTGAGAGCTTTATTGATATCTGTCCAGTTGTTCATAAACTATTTGGTGACACACACACACACACACACACACACACACACACACATGCACACTCATAGAAGCACAGACTCTAAAGCATCTCTCACCTTCACCTTTCAGCAGCTGGAGATAAAATGAGTTATAGTTTTCGAACAGAAGTCAATACTTCCTGCAAACAAATGAAAGGATTTTGATTGTTTCGTCCGCTTGTGCAGCTGTAAATATTTGCATCCTAGATAGCTGTCCATGTCTTCATGGTTTGTTCAAGTGCTATTTTTTGATCCAGATGCTACTAACATGAGAAGACACAAAAGGCAGAACTTTTGTTGCTTTTTCTGCACAGCAGGAAAAAGTGGCCCAATTCCACTTTTTTCCCGTGTGTGACCCCTGTCTGTTTATTTACTTAATTATTGTCCCCATCAAGGAGTGGAGGTGGGGGATTGGAAATGCCCTCTGTCCATCCATGTTGTGAGAATGATAAAAATAAGTGTGTTGTTGACTTCCAGTTTGGTTTGTGGCTGCATTCAGGCATAAGAAAGGTCACCATCTAAAATTGAGTTGCCATGTTAAAATTCAAGATGGCCACCAACATATATATATATATATATATATATATACAGACCTTTTTATGTAAAATTAAACAAATAAATACTTGAAATAGTTTAAATTGTGGGCCCTGAATCTATCATCTATTAAAGATTAACTTTTTGAATGGAATTATGGAAGTTAAACAACTTTTCCATGATAGGCTTAATTTTTTGAAAATGGCTGTATATGTAAACTAGCCACCTCTATCATTTGAAGGGTGCTCTCTAGTTTTTATGTTGCTTAAAAGTAAAGTTTCCTCACATGACTGGAGTGGCCAAAGATTAACCTTAAGTGTCCTAGGCCACCACTGGCCACCCTCTGTCTCCACCATTGCACCTGTTGGTGGATCAAATTGGTTCCTCTGTCACCAGGATCTGTCTCTCTGTACTGCTGGGACAAGCAAAAAAAACAAAAAAAAACCTACTTATACATGGTGTAACGCCTATCTCAGAAAAACACTTATCTCGTAAACAACAATTAATTCACTATTAAAATCCCTCAGTGATGGCGGCATACCGCTTGTAATTTTTATTTGAACAATCAAAGTGTGGACATCTATTCTGGAGTTTGTGGCCTTTGTCTTTGTTTAGCTGTGTCACATCAGCAGTTTGGACAGTTTCTAATAAAACTTTAATCAGATAGTTTCTAGAGCTCTAATGAAATTAACAACTTGTAGAAATATGCAACAATGACAAATTTAGCCTTAATACATCCTAAATACATCTTCTGGTTTGACATCTTCATCGACTCACCGATCAAACATGCTCGATTGTTCAGTGAAGACACTCAGGGTGGAACAGTTTCAATACAGTTAAAAGGAACTCCCTAAAAATACAATGAGCATCACAAAAATTCTGCATCTGAGCCAGATGGATCTGGTTAACTTTGAAAACATCTAACATTTTATCAAAGGTTTTTATTAAAATATCTGATCCAGCTAAGCCATTTCTCCATTGTTGCTAGGCAACTGTTAAAACCCCTGTCTGAGCAAAGCATTATTGTTGAAAAAAATTAAAAACTTTCCTTCTTCAGAGCATGCACAAACAGTTCCATTATGATGCCGAGCAGCAGCATGGGGTGTTACATGATACTGAGGCAGACGCAAACGTTGACGAGTCTCTGCTAATGTTCAGCTTTAATGTCGCTCAGTGATGCACAAGAATCATCTCCTGGTCTTTGGAAAACCACCAAGAAACAGAGACATTAAAATGATCATTACCAACATCTAATGTACGTGAATAAAGTATAATTATAACATCAAAAAGTTCAGCATAATTAAGTGTAACTTGAGCATATTAATAAAGGTTTTTGGTGTTTCCTAAGTCCATACTGTGTAATAATTCTAAGTACGGTAGGTATTATCTACATTATGGTTAATATTAAGGGTGTAATGAGTCGTATCAGGGTCATGATATAGGACAGCAGGATAAACAAACAACTCACACTTGGTTTGGTTTGTGTTTACAGACAATAACTCTCCCAGAAACAGACAGAATAACTAACCACTCTTTTTTTGTAGGGAGGTTTAAGGTAGGTTGTCGTGCACAGTAAGGTAGAATTTGACGTCTAGTGTCTTTACTAGAAAACAACAAATAAATAATGCAACATGAAAGAAGTCACACTGAAAAGTGTTTTTCACCCCAAACATGTGTCAACCAAAAATTTTGGGAAAAACTCTGGAAAGTGTCTCTTGGTCAGGAAAATATTACAAAAAAATAATAAATAAATCCATCAAAACAAACATGGAGGGTTTTCTTCGGTTACTTTTATTCTAGCCTTGATGCAAAATAAAAAGTGATGCACCATCCCCTAATGTTACAATACATGAAGAAAAGAAGTGAAACATCACACCTAGCTTCTCAGCTAACTGGGGGCTAGTTTAGTTAAAGAACACATGAGCTTTTATATCAAATACATACACAAATGACCTTCCATACAGTCTCAAAGTGCACAATAGATGGCATCCCTGCTTTCCATACCTGCACCTCACATCAGTGCTCCACAGCTGCTGCAGATCAACAGATTTAAAAACAAACAGGCAGGCCTTTAAGCTTCCGTGTGTTATTCTGAAGCATCCGGTCACGTTCAGTCGTGGAAAAATGTACTTTCTTTCTCTGCTTCTGTCGTGGCTGTTCACAGAATGCAGTTAAATGTTCCTCTGCTCTCGCTTCTGGATGGAAGCAGTGACTAACAAATCCATTACACTTTAAAGTGCCTGTGCCAAACATCTGTACTGGGAAAGGTCCGGTTCAAACACATGTACGTTCACCTCTAGTCAAAAATAACATCACAGGTTAGAAGAAAAAAGGTTCTTCTTCAAAGTAGCACATCTTGATAAAGGAGATTCTCAGAACTCAAAATAAACAACTTAAAGTTTAGATGTCAGTTTGATATGTGTCTACCAGTAAATATGAAACTTGTCAGTCAAAAAGAAATCAAAGTGTTTAAAAAGAGAGATGTTTAATCTCTCCTCCTGACTTCTTACCTTCTGCATTCTTCCCTGCAGGCCTGTGGACGAGGAGCGGTTGCGGCCGGTCACCCAGCTGGACCTCCTCTTCGGCCTGGACAAGATGCAGGAGTCCAAGCAGGCCACGGCCTCCGTGCTGCCCAGCGTATCAGAGGTTCCTCTGGACTGAACGCTGTGCGCGCCCCACTGACAGCAAACACGCTCTTCACCTTTCTGCGCACCGTTTGTTCCAACTCCGCTAGCATAGACCGGCATACCAAGAGGTGTCGTTAATCCAAGCTGCATCCATACTGTTCTTTGATTTAGTGGAGATCTGAGCATGCTCGTTTTCAGCACGGCCTCTCACCACGTGTACACGTACATCGTTTTACCGTCTGACGTCTGCCAGAGAACTGTGAGGATTTGCCCGGAGCAGAACAAAGCAATGATTAGAAACATCTATTTGCTGTGCCAGGACTTGAACTTCAGAGCTTTCAGACTTTCTCTACATCTTAAATTTCAAAATGTATCGAATCAAAACAAAAATTTAAAATGTCTTTTGAAAATCAGCCTTTTTTTTTTTTTTTAAACCATTTCATAGACATTTATTTTCTTTCCTCAATCATTTTCCAGGTTACATTTTTTAATATAGTGGATAAAGTCAACATCTAATATGTTCTTGTCAACTTGTACACAATACTCAAAGTAGAATTGCTGCTTGTATGGAATGCTGAGATGTATTTAAAATGACAATATGTAAAATACAAATGTATGTTACCTGTAAAAGGTAATAGTACTGAAAGTATATTCTTCATCCAGGGGTGAAATTAAATGTTTAATAATTTGAGATCTTGATAATCTGTTTTTAAAAACCTATAGTTGAGTACTTCATGGTACAGTCTTGATTCTTTGGGTTGTGTTTAATTATGTTTAGTGTAATATAATAAAGTGGAAAGAGGGTTTGCACTTAAAGACTTGAAGATAATCATTGATAGAGTTTATGAACACTTTTTATGGTGTGTTCTGTTTATCGGTCAGAAACTGGCAGCTGCTGATCACATATCATTTTATTTTCATTTCTTTTTAAGGGAGCATGGCTTTAAAATCCACGTGCTTTAATCAGATGTTGACATGCTTTTTGCAGCCTCAATATTTTACATTTGCTCAGAGTTTATTCTAAGGGAATCTTTAGGTGTCCAGACTCTTCCAGTCTGAGCCAGCTGTGCAGTGTACACCTTCCACCCATGAGGTGGCGCTGCAGCTTCAGTTGTCTCCAGTTGCTTTTACCTGGAGCCATTTTATTGCATTATGGTAAAAGATAAGAACATTGATGCAGTGTTTTTCTCGCTTATTGGTTTATGTGGTGATGTTCAGGCGTCTTACTCTTCATCAGAGTACTTCGGGTGACAGGTAAAGGTCAGGACATTTCCATGTAAACCAGTGCTGCTTTCCATTGTTTGTTTCTTGGAGAATGGTAAGATGTTTTCCTCTGATCAGTTCCCTCATCCTCTCTGTGCAGCACTGGCACAGTGCATGAAACTGTGCCCTGTTCTTACAGTTAGGTTTTATTGTCAAAAATGTGTTTGTGTTGAATTTGCTTAAATAAATGTCCTGTAAACTTATTTATTAAACTACAAAACAATGCATTGTTTTAAAATTAGTTTGTTTTTCAGCAATCAACTTATTTGTGTTTATCCCTGAATATGTTTGTTAGAAGAAAAAGCTTTTATTTAAACTACAACTTGTGACCCACTGTGAATATAACATTTGCCCATCGGTGTGTTAGCAAAATATTTTTACTGTACAGATGAAGTTATGAAGCTTTGGAGTCGACCCCGTTCAACGTGGTGGCCACAGCTAACGGACCATACAAAACATAAATCTGTCCATAATTCAGTTTTGCACGTACTGACTAGAATTGGGCGCGGAAGTAGCTGAGAGTCATCCCAACACATATTCAGAAGGTTAATAAATTGCACTTGATCTTGACTTTAAATTTGGCCAATAACTATGCACATAGATTCAACCCTGTCTGTTTACTGTATTAGCAAAATATCTTGTCAGGAAACATCACTGGATGGATAAATATAGATCTATAACAGATTATGTCTTGGAGCCAACCCAAATCAAGATGGCCACCATAGCTAATTAGCATTAGCAAACATAAAAAAGGGCTCTAACTAGGTTTGTTAAACAGAATGAGCTGAAACTTAATGTGGAAGCTGAGAGTCATTCGCCGCACAGTCTGAGTGTTCTTGTCTTGCAGCAATGTGTGAAATAGTGGCTAAAGTTTTTCAAGATTTGGCCCAAACAGCTACCGTACATTTCTTTGATTCAAACAGGAATTAAAATGGCGGGTGATATGCATTCTTTCCTGGAGTACTAAACCTTACTTTCCATCCATCCATCCATCCATCCATCCATTATCTTTACCCGCTTATTCCATTTTGGGTCACGGGGGTCGCCGGTGCCCATGTCCAGCAATCACTGTGCGAGGGGCGGGGTACACCCTGGACTGGTCTCCAGTCCATCACAGGGACACATAGAGACAAACAACCATTCACTCTCTCACTCACACCTAGGGACAATTTAGAGTTACCAATCAGCCTAACATGCATGTTTTTGATCTGTGAGAGGAAACTGGAGAATATGCAAACTACACCCAGAAAGACCCCCCGGGATTCAATCTAGCGATCTGCTCGCTGAGAGGCGTCAACTCTACCAACTGCGCCACCGTGCCACTAAACTTTGTTTTATTCTATATGTTTTCGAAGTATGCGTCTTATTTAGAGCAGCCACTGTGACAAGTTTAACTATTTTAATGTGTCTGAAACTTTCCTCTGACACATTACTACTTCTTGTTGAAAATTAAAAACAGTGCTGTCAGCCAAATATCCGTGTTCCACATTATTAACAGCTAAAATGTGCACATGGGGAGATAAACCTAACAGATCACCTGTAAATAACTGACTGTTAAAAGGTAGAGCAGAAGAACTGAACAGAGTTTAATTGTCTAAAATCACAGATAATATAAATACCAGACATTTGACACGACCCCGCACCGACCCACCCAATGGGCTTTTTATGTTTGTTTTGTTTTTGTTTTTTTACAAGTCCATAGGATCGGCCAAATCTATGGCATGAAGAGCATGACTGCATGGCCCTTGAATTATAGACCAGTGTGGTTCTGAATTTGCCGTCATAAAAATCGTTCAATATATGGTTCAGCCCCCTTTTCTTCTGAATCAGTAGAAGTGGGCTTTTATTTTTTAGAAATCTGAATAGTCATAATCTGTAAAGTCTACAGCGAATGCAGTTCTCCACCCTTGAGGGACGTATTAGCGAGCTTTAGTTGGCCCAGACCAGCTCCTGCTCCTCCATCCAGTTGGTGTTTGCTGCAGCATTCTGGCTGCTTTCTAATAAAAACCCTGCATGTCTAATAAAGCCACGTCTCTAAACTCACTCACAGCCAAACTTTGAAAACTGAGGGTCTTAACGAATGCCTGACCAAGTTTTCTAAACACATAAATACCCACTCATCAGAAGCGAATAAAAAAGCTTTATTTTATATTGTATTTATGTAAAGGTAACTAATATTAATAAGCATTTGTTCTGGATTTGAAGATCGTCCTAGTTACAGTCCAAGGTCAGAGTGGGAGGAGTGGGGAAGTGGGGGCGTAGAGGTTAAAAAAGGTGCGTGTTCATGCAGTTAGTTCGCTGCGGTGACCCCTGAAGAAGGGAGCAGCCAAAAGAAGAAAAATAATAAACTGTCAAGTCACATTTCTGGTGTAATCTCTCATCCAGGTCTGACTGCTCCAACTCCATTCACATTTGATACATTTGATAAAAACTTCAGGAGGTAACTAAACATCAGCGTTACATAATTACTTACCCGTGCTAACTACATGCTTTATGGTTGCCTCTTGGCTGGTGTACATATCACAAACTACAACCCCTGATTATTACCAAAAGGCAAAGGTGAATAAATATATTGTTGCCGTTGTATGTGTGTGTTTATATGTTTCTGTCTGTTAGCAAAATATCTCGTGAATCTGGATAATTTTAAATGAAACTTGCAGAGAGTAATCATTGGATGTACGTCTACAACTGAATATCTTCTGAAGTTTAACATAATTCACAATGGTTGCCACAGTCAACGAATGGTTGTAACTCGGTCAGTGTTACAGATATTGTGTCAAAATATGATGTGGATGTAGCTGAGAGTGATTCGCAACATGTACACCCAGAGCTTCACATTGCACAAGACCGTAACGTTTTAAACTTTATCGTTAACTGTTGGTGTCCACCCTGTTTGATCCATTAGCAAAAAATGTCATGACCCACTGGACAGATCTAAATAAAATCTCCAAGAGTAATCATTGGGTATACATCTACACTGATTATTGTTTTAAGTCAACCCAATTCAAGATGGCCACCACAGCCAAATGTCCTTTGGAAACAATAAGACAACACCTTTGATTCTTTGCCTTAGTATTTAGTGTGGTGATCGTTGAGTCTTCCACACCACCAGAGCAATACATTGTACAGTGATGACTATTATATTATGCACACGATTATTTTAAAGTTGCGACCACAACAGCAATAACTTCACCATTTTTCTACAAAAAATAAGTCTCCAGCGTTTGCATGAAACGTGCCCTTCAAAGTGCACTTGTCCAAAGCATGCCAAGCCTTCATATTTGTTCTGGAAGAGCAGCACAAGGTTTACTTTTTATTGAAGTTTAATAGTTTGACTCATATCAAATGAATTGTTTGAAACTTTCTTTTGCATGTCAAAATGTATTAAATGTTCTCAAAGAGTAATTCCAAAAAGAGATTTACTTTACGATTTCTGTTTGTAGAACAAGAAGCAGTAAAAAAAAAAACTGGTCTAAACAGATGAAGAACATCTGCTGAACGCAGACGATGAAAAATGAGTTTTAAGCTGAATAAGACTGAATAAGCAAAAAGTTTAAAAAAATAAAGTAAAGGACAGTCATGGAAACCATTGAAGATTAAATAAAAAAGTAGTGGTTTGTGCTGACACTGGTGAACTTCCTTAAGCTCCTCTCAAATGTAATGAACATCAGAAATAGATGTTTACTTACTCAAGCTCTCGTCATCAGGCCGCCAGGTGGTTGGAAACCCCCATAACAGATTAAACTGTATCTTAAAGGTCATTATCAAATTATTTCATTCAGTTACAAGTGAAGAATGAATCAATTAATTGCAGGAATATTTCACTATACTTACTTAGTGCTGTTTAATGAAATAAACCATACGTGACTTACAATCTATCAAAAAAATCTAACAATGAATTAACA